TTTATCTTAATTTATCTTGAAAATTATTTGTAGAACTAATTATATACTCCATAATTCACATGGCATAAGTTTAGAAATACATTTATAGAAAATTTGTATTGCAAACATCAATCAAAATTAAATTTTTTATTTTTATTAAAAGTAATGCACAATTTCTAAGATATTATTTCTACATTTAATTTTTAAATTGTGCTCCAAGGACACAAGTTAACATTACCCTTAATATATACTCTTAAGATTTATATGATGATATGTGAAACTAATGTTTTTCACTATAATATATTCGATAGCAAGACGCATTCTAATAATATAAATATCCTCCTTTAATTAACATAAATATATATTATTTTGTGAAATATAGGAGATACCATCTTACTTTCTCTTTTATTTATTTTCTTAGTTTCATATATCTTAACATAATATAAATATATATATTTAATAATATAGATTTGGTATTTCAATTTTGTCTTGTTGTAGATTAAACTGAAAATTGTGGTTGTAGAATCCTGCATTTTGTGTCTAGCACTTGTGTGTCTTGTGTGTCCAACACTTGTGTGTATGGAAATATGATTGAACTCACTTTGGCTATACAATTTATGTCCCATTTCAGTTACTGCATGCGAAATAATCTTGCTGAATCATTTGATAAAACTTGGCTTATGTTTTGAATGCGTATGTTTGAATTTTGCCGTAATGCTCTATATTGAATGGAATGCTACGATTTTTAGGAGTAATGCCAATGCTATGATAATATGCAAAATGCAAATGAAACTCTGACGTAGAATTAAACTCTGTGGGGAATGGATCGCTGTCTCGATCATTAAGTGATATGTGGGGGAAAACCTCCTGCTAGAGATAATGCCTGCCACAAACCGCCAAAAATAAATTGGCTGGAGATGGGTTGACCTTGCTAGAGAAGTGTCAACTGAAGTGCTCTGCTTGGGGAAATTTCGCTTGTTGAACTCCGCTGGGGAAATGAATGGCTAAACATACTTTGCCTAGGGAGAGATGTAGCTTTGCAAAAGGATGGTTTCCAATAGAAGTCTGCTGAGGAAACGAAATGTTAGACATAACGACTCTAGTTGGGGATTAAGTGTACACTGCTGGTATCACTTCCTTCATGTTTGCTGGGGATATCATTAGTTCTGACATTGCTGGGATGTCAAGATCCTGCAATCTGTAGAGTTCCGCCTGAAACTCTACTGGGGATTCGCTCCACTGAGAATAAGAGACCATGATACGTCTCTTGTTGGGGAGATAACTGCTTGGGGATGCACCTCACGATGCCCCATGTTACAACTGACTTTGCATAAAGTTACCTGTGATCTGCAAAAGTAACGCACACACATCCCGGGAATTGCATGGTTCAAATGCATCATTCGGGGTTAAATATCTGTAAAGCTACCATTATTATTCATATGCAATATGTTTTATTAAAAATTTGGACATTTTTGCAAACAAAACTGTAAAAATGAAAATAGGAAAACTTTTATTGAATATTCAACTTTTATTGATAAAAGGGCCTGAATAGGCAAGTACATCAGGAAGTGGATCCCTGGAAAGAGGTGATCGCTGCAAATTGAGAAAAGAAATTGTCCTAATGGCAATGTGAAGACGACATTCCACTGAGTTTCAATTCTGCTATGACCAATATGACCTCAAAACGCTTTGCTCGTCTTGCTTTCTGGAGAGGATGACTTGCTTGATTCTTAACCTTTTTGAAGTTGTCAGATTGATGTGAAATTGTGATGTAATACAGACGAATTCATATTGCATTTGTTCGCTTATTCCCTCTTTTGCGTGGATCTCCTTTGCAGGTTTTCAATCCACTAGGATACCTTTTTTTGCCTGAGTTGCCCAATGCGGCTTTTCAACTCAGCGGGTGTACATTTTTTTATTCATTTTCCCTAATTTTTGCCCGAGCTTTTTATTCTGTTTTTAGCTCACCGAGATGCCCTTTTTTGCCTGGACTATAATTCTGTTTTTATGTTCAGCGGGTCTTTTTATGCGAAGTATTTTTTAACTGCATCTGAATTGGTAGAGGATGGAAAGTCTTTGTCGTCCATGGTTGTAAGCATTAAGGCTCCACCTGAGAAGACCTTCTTAACCATGTACAGACCCTCATAATTCGGTGTCCATTTTCCCGTGTGATCTGTATTTGGAGGAAGAATCTATTTAAGCACCAGTTCACCCACTTGGTATTCCCGAGGACGCACTCTCTGATCAAATGCTCTCTTCATCTTTCTTTGGTATAGTTGGTCGTGACAGATGGCTGCTAGTCTCTTTTCCTCAACTAGACTCAACTGATTATACCGAGAGCGGACTCATTCTGCCTCATCCAGCTTAACGCCCATCATAACTCTCAGAGAGGGGATTTCAACTTCAACAGGCAGGACTGCCTCCATGCCATACACAAGTTGATACGGTGTTGCCCTAGTGGACGTCCTGATTGACGTTCGATACCCATGCAATGCAAACGGTAGCATTTCGTGCCAGCCTTTATAAGTCATTGTCTTCTTTTGCACAATCTTCTTAATGTTCTTGTTAGCTGCCTCAACAACGCCATTCATCTTTGGCCTGTAAGGAGAAGAATTGTGGTGTTTGATTTTGAAGTCCCGACATAGCTCTGCCATCATTTTGTTATTCAGATTTGAACCATTATCAGTAATGATTCTCTCGGGTACTCCATATCTGCAAATGATGTCTCTTTTGAGAAACCTAGCAACGACTTGTTTTGTGACGTTTGCATAAGAGGTGTTGCAGAGGCTTTGGTGTAATTTTTATGATCAAATGAAGTCTCTATTTATAGCAAATTTAAGGCTTAAAAATTAAGCTAGCATGATGCAAAGCTTAAAAACTAAGCTAACAAAATAAGCACTTAAAAATTAAGCTAACTAAAAAACTAATAAAAGATGATAAAAAGAAAAATGTGATGATAAAATAATAATTGTTATAAAAATAAATTTATAATAATAAAAATGATTTATGAAAATTATTATTAATAAAAATTAAAATTGAAATCAATACCAGACGGTAAAATTGTCCAGTATCAAAGTGTCTGAAAAAAATAAAATGAATACACCAAAATAATCAGTGAAAAATCTACATTTAGAAAAATACGGCGTTTTGTCTAATTTTGAAAAATTAATTTTTACCCATAAAAGGACTCAGACGGGTCAGAAACATGAAGCAACGACTTGAGGGGCTCCTGTTCCGGACTAGCCCAACTTTTAGACTTGGGCCCAATCCATCGTCTAGCCCCAGACGGCCCAATAACTCTTTGGCACCTGATACATCATCAGTCTGCCCGGAAACCTCCTTCCTATCGGCCACCAGCGCCGCCCGACCATGATTCACGCCCGACAAGGGCTGAATCTCCCAGACTCCGTCGTCAGAACGCTTGCTCGGCAGGCACTTCGCCCGGTACTAACACCATCCGACCAAGGCATTGACCGAGCAGCTCAAGCGTCATCTAACGACTAGTTTCTGGTAGTTACCAATTATTGGGGGATCCGCGATCCAGGCCCAATGAAAGGGACCAATAGCCATGCGCTGGGGGTATTATATAAACCCTCTCATATGAGATGGCCAGGTATTCAATTCTCTTACACTCTAAACTTGTGTTTGCTCACTCTTTGCTCGGTTTCTTACTTTAGCATCGGAGTGCCTTGCAGGTATACCCCTCTCCTCTCTCCATCAACTGTGCTTCAACCACGCTCGACGTCGGCCACTTCTGATCCTGATCTCCAGGTACGATCAAAGATCAATATCATAGTCATGTCAAAGTTGTAAGGAGTGAAAATTGTCTTGATTTCTTAATGCCTAATTTGTATGCTTCTAAATGAATAGCACACAAACCAGTTGTGTTGTGATACCTTAAAAAATAGTCTGGATGATAAATTTGATCTTTTTGAAAATGTTTCTAAATCTATTAACCTAGGTGGCACAAATAGCACTCGAGGATCAAACATAATTACTAATTTGAACACCTATGTAACAAGTGGAGCTATTCTAGATGAGGTTCATTCATCTAGTTTTGCATAATCATATGGGACGCCGGTTCAATTTCTATCAACTGATCAGTTAAGGGAATCGGAACCGGCGTCCCATTTGATCATCACTTATATATATATATATATATATATATATATATATATATATATATATATATATATATATATATATATATATATATATATATATATATATATATAAGTTTATCATATGACCAACTAATTTAAAATAAAGTTATTAATTATGATTTGATATATTGTTAGGAAAGTTTCTCACTATGCTACTAATAGACAATACTACACTTCTCACTAGGCTACCAATGGAAAATAACACTGCAGCACCAACTTCAACTGCGTGATTTTGTCTTTCTGCCTTCTGATGAGATACAATTGACAATCCCTTCACTTGCAAATAATTTACCCCAATATTAGATCTAACAGATTCGACGTATCCAATTGTATTTGTTACATAGAAAACATTTGCTGTTAAATTTTCTGTTGTAGTTATTTCAGCCCTTATCACATTCAGTTCATTCTCTCGAAATGTTCTCAACAACTTTGCTAAAAATCCCGACCTATTTCCATGTGTAATTCTAGTCTAACACACTGCATTCAAATAATTAGCAATTATTTAATCTTAGATATTAAAGAGGGTCATACATACTAAGAAAACAAAAATGAGAATATAAAATCACCATACCTCAGATGCTCTTCTGTTAACTGCTGCTTGCAAACATTCAATCACACACCGACGCTCTGGCTCTGAACTAATTGGAGCACCATCCCTATGCCTTATATACAATTCCTGCAATGATATTTCAATTGTAACTAATTTGGCACATATCCAAGTCAGTGATACATCTGAATTCCAATAATTACCATGTTTGCTTGGTCATTTGTTGAATAGATACTTGCGTGGAACACTTCATATTCCATGTCGGTCAAATTACAGACAACATCAAACAATAACTTAATTCGATCCTTGCACTAAACATTAACCACCGAATAACCCATTTCAACCCAATTTTGGACAGTGACTAATGGTGTTTCAGAAGTATACTTGAAAATGGGATTCTTTTGGAAATCACGATCAACAAACATCATTTGGTGGAGTCTTCTATCAGGGTGTACAACATCATAAGAGATGAATGTTTTAGCATTTGTAATGTTATTGTCTGCCTTTAAAACAGACATTAAACGTGCTTGAACGCTCTTAAATTTCTTAGAATCCTCAATAGGACTCACAGAATCGCAATCTTCTACGTAGATTAAGGAAGCAAAATGGCCATTATGAGTCCAAACTTTAGCATCGACCACATCATATTGCAGCTCAGCTAAAACACCAAATACCTCCGAAAGAAGACCAATACGGCCTGAGCCCGTTAATTCCAAGGCAATTAGACCATTTATTTTTTTGGCTTTTCCATTGTGAATGCTGCCAAGTGACTGAAACAACATTTTATTGGAGAATCAAATTTAAATAGTTAACATATGAACATTTAATTAGAACTTTAAAAACACTATTAAATTATTCATACTTGTTCAATATTTCTTAAAACACTTTCATTAGTTAGCTTATTTCTGTTTTGATCAGTAACATGGAAAAATGTATATTGAAGATCAAAAGGTTAAGGTTTGGTAGATCAAAGTTATCATTAAAACGAAAGAGAATGGAAAATTAGCTTACCATCCATGAACCAGTTGACATCAGAAGAAATGTATGCCTTCTTAACTAAAAGGTTCAGATCGCTAAGTACTTGTATGGCTTCTAAGTGAATCCTTAGATTTCTAGCGCTATCAAACTGTGAATTCCACCAAATCGTAAACATTTGTATCTTAAAAGGACTATGGACCTCGGCCTACACTATCAGAAATTTCCTGCTGTACTAGAAGGGTATAGTGATGCAGATTGGAACACCTTATCAGATGATTCCAAAGCTACTAGTGGTTATATATTTAGTATAGCCGGTGGAGCTGTAACTTGGAAATCAAAGAAACAGACCATTCTGGCACAGTCCACAATGGAGTCTGAGATGATAGCATTAGCTACAGCTAGTGAAGAAGCAAGTTGGTTAAGATGCTTGCTAGCTGAGATTCCTTTATGGGAAAAACCTATACCAGCTGTGTTGATCCACTGCGATAGTACCGCGGCTATTGCAAAAGTTGAGAACCGTTATTATAATGGTAAAAGACGTCAAATTAGAAGAAAACATAGCACTGTTAGAGACTGTATCTCTAAAAGAGTTGTGAGAGTGGATCATGTACGCACTGATGAGAACTTAGCAGATCCTTTGACGAAAGGATTAGCTAGAGAGAAAGTCCATAATACTTCTAAAAAGATGGGACTAATGCCTATAAAGTAATTTGTTACTCATGATGGTAACCCGACCTAAATGACTGGAGATCCCAAGACTTAGGTTCAATGGGTAATAACAAGTTATGAGTAATATGAAAATGATCATGCAAGTAAAGCATGAATCCTGAAGTAATGAGAGGATGAGATAATAGAAACTCTTAATGAGATCTATACTCTGTATGAGGGAGTACCTAGGCTACAGGAGTACTCTTGATAGATTCACCTATGTGACTGTGGAACTAGGCCGGTTCCTATGGAATTTCGAGGCAGAATTCCTAGAGCATTCACTAAACCGGGATACACGTGCAGGGTCACTAAAGCACGGGCTACAAGAATACACCTTACGGAAAGGTTGTGTGCGGGTCTGATGTCCGAGATAGAGTTCAAGACAATGGTGTCACTCTTGTTGAATCAGAATCCTACTCGCTACGCTAAGGTTCAAGTCGTAGACACCTTTGCTTATGCTCAACCTGAGAAACGTCTGACGTACTTCTAAAATCTCTTTTAAATTCAAGTGGGGGAATGTTGGAACTTTAATTAATTAGAGTGGGAATTGGAAACATTTGTTGATAATTAATGAGCAATAAATGAACACAAGTGAGAACTAATATAGAAGTGAATTTGAAAAGATTCATTTTAGTCTCACATTGAAGGGAATGGAAATATTAGTAGTGTTTATATATTCCAACTTTGTCTATTGGGTTGGGCCCTAAAGGGCACCCAATTTTGTGAAAGGAGTGAGGACACACCCATGACCAACAAGACACACGCGCGCGCGCCGCCGCCGTTCGTCCGGTCCGGTCTAGATGAATTATTTTTTGGACCCGAATTTATATAATTTAATTATCATTAATTAATTAAGATAATTCAGTGGAAAATTAATTAATAATAAATATTAATTAATTAAGAAAATAATTGGTCAGTAAATGCCAGATCCACTCCCCACGAATTTCTTAGTCTCCCACCATTTTCTCCACTCCCCACGAATTTCTCAGTCTCCCACCATTTTCTCCACTCACCACAAATTTCTCCCTACTCAGGTGCAGTTTGCTGCCTATAAATACAGGGTAGAAATTCAGAAGTGGGTACATCGGATTTCACAAATTCACACGAATTTTGATTTCCCTCTTCTCTTTCTCATTTCTCTTCATCTCAAAAACTCTCTTTTCTTGACTGGTTATTTTAACCAGATATTTTGAAAGGTGTATTTCTAAAGCGATTTATCAGTGTGCAACTGATAATCGTCGTAAATTCGACTGCTTTGCATAATTTGGCAGTACGGCGAAACGTCTTAAAGAAAGCGACCTAGTACGCGACTCGTCCCGATAATTTCCTTGTGCCAAACGCTATTTTTTCAAATCCGAAAACAACATAAACTCATTATGAAGAAATGCCTACATAACCCTTAGGCTACGAGTTCACTTTGAGCATTAGTTCTCAAAGCAAATGAAATGATATTTCAATGTAAATAAACTTTGATTCTGAATCAATGTGTATCCTTCTAAACAACATACCATTGGTAGAAAGGAGTTTAAATGAGATTCTAGAGAGGGAGGGAGAGACTTGTCTTGGGAGAAGAGGGAGTTTGAAGATGAAAGAATGGTGAACAAGATGGTGTGAGATCAAAAATAAATTAAGTTGGGAGAGACTAGGGATTGAGTTTGTGAAATGATGAAAAAATATTTGATTTGATGTTTAGGGTAGGGGGTGGATAGTTCTTTTAAACTAATACTACTGTATATTAATTAACTGTTCAATTTAGAATAGTATGCTATAATTATAAATTAAATATGTATCATTTAAATTTTTTAATTTAAATTAAATAAGGTTAGACATTATTTTACTATAAATTTAATGTATATATTTTCTTACAGATCTTATATAATGATCTAAAATATGAATGAAATTACTCGTGCGGACGCACGAGTTTTCTACCCGTAGTTCTTTTAAAGTAATACTATTATTTTATATTTCTTTTTTTTTCTATTTGTTTTTTTCTCTTTTTTTTCTCTCTCTCTCATGTAGTAGAAAGTAACTTTAAAAACCAAACACATGAGTATTTTGTTCAATGTTTTTTATAATCTCCATAAAAAATTATCCTTAAATGCAAAATAATAGAAGCAAAATTTTGAAAACATAAATAATTGATTTTTTTTTTAATTTAGTGTGTATTTAATGAACTAAATATTTATAATTTTCTTTGTTTAAAATTTTTAACCAGTGACCCGAGAATACCGGTTAACGTGACCCTATATATACATAAATGATAAATTAATAATCCATTTTATTATGTGATGTGTTCGCTTCTTCCTTTTCGGATTATGTCGTTGTTGTTTGTGCCATCAAAACAAAACTTACATTAAATTGTGACTCAACTTTAATGAAACAAAATTGCCTATCAATGACTAATCAAATAGCTTTTACGCTACAACATTCATCCTAATTTAATACTTTAGTAAATGTAGATCTCCTAAATGTTAAGAACAATAAACAGGATGAGAAATCACCTTTCCAAGTTGGTCAAATCCATCTAGCTGGTTAAGAAGCTGATAGGCCCATTAGAACAATTAAGAAACCTATTTGGCAGCAAGACTATATTATGAATTAAGTCTCTTTTATTTTGAATTTAGTTTATTTTTCCTCCAAGTGGGCTCAACCCAAAAGTTTGTATTAGGCCCATATTTTAGTGATTGTATTTATAGAGCTGATGTCTCTAATTTTAAGTATGAAAAATCAATATATGTTTTTATTCCTTCTTTCAAATTCATCTTTATCTTTTGTTAGAACCCTAGTTTATGGTAGTAGCAAAACCCATCTTATCAATTTGTGTTTTCATCTTCTCCCTTGATTCCTATCAATCGGACAAATCAACACAAATCTCAACAACTTGGAGACAACTATGAACAACAATTTTGCAGCACTCACAACACTCATGACTCAACACTTTGCTGCCATGAACGCTGCTGATACATCTAGATCTACTCCTATATCAACACCTTTAAGATCTACACCTCAATTCACAACCAGATCTACAATACGTAACTCCACTAGTCACTTAACAACTTCTTTTCCCCAAACCAACTCAACCCTAAGTTCTACCCAACTTTCTACACCACCACCACCACCATATTTTACTCGCCCAACACCATCCATATTGTCCGCAAGTTCTGCATTTTAACCCATTCCTACAAATTCTGCATTTCGACCCATTCCTCCAACCTTTACAAACCCTTTCCCCCAACACAACAAAACAATTCCATGCAAAACACTACGTTTAGAATCCAAAAATTGAGCTTAGTATTTTTTTATGGAAATGATGTGTTAGAATGGCTTTTCCAAGCTGAACAATTTTTTGCATTTTATAACATTTCTTACAAAAACCGATTACCGATGGTAGCATTTTATATGAAAGGAGATGCTCTTGGTTAGTATAAATGGATGTTTCAAAGTAATGAACTTACAACCTTCAACCAACCCGAGTCGTTTTCCAATCTGTCGCATTACTCCAGCTCAATAGGCAGAAATCACACTCCAAGACCACCTTTTCTTTATTCCATTTTACTTAATTCCAATTAAGGGTGTTGATGTAGTATTGGGAATGGAATGGTTGTGAACCCTTGGCCCATTAATTGCTGATTTCTCTATTCCAAAAATTTCTTTCACCTATGAAAATAAGGACCTTACTCTGACAGGTGACTCAAACCAGACCCCCGCCCCCTCCACTTTCAACCAAATTCGTCACCTCTTACATACAAACTTTGTTGCTTCCATGCACCTTCTTTTATATCAACCCTCTACCGACCAAATCCCAACTTCCCAATATCTTAACCCTTTCAGCCAACCCAGCAACACCCATCCCGAAGTTTCTGCCCTTATCAAATCCTACCCAACTGTTTTCCAACAACCAAGTTATTCATTTTTAGGCCATTCTCCACTTTGAACAAGACATAGTTCTTAGTATCCGAGAGAATGCAAGACTGCAGGGATTTCTTGATTGCTATAAACTTTGTGGCCCAATCAAAGAGAGGTATGTTTAGAAATATTACTAAATGTAATCTTTTATATTATATCTATAACTTGGCACTCAATGGTGTTGCACCCTAAAATTTGCTCAACCTTATTCACTTGGTTTATGTTTCAATATCATTAGCATTTGCATATAGAGTCATGTACATGGCCTACTCATCTGCATAACATAAGCATAGCAAGTCAGCTAACAGGGGACCAATCATTATTCTCATCTCTATGAGCCTATCAAGAGGTTGTTATCCTAATTCAATCCCATTCAAGTCATCAGAAAAGAATTTGAAAGCAGAGAGTTCAATAGATCAAGCTTTGAGTCTATCTCCTATCTGAGGGCATCTGAGGATCAACAAGGGAGTTGTGAGTTGTGAATTGAAGGCATGGAGAGTATCTAGACATCTTGGAGGACTTAGAAAGTCATTTGGAGATGGAGACAAGTCATTGGTGTAG